GGAGGGCTTGAAAGCTGTAGCTCTAAAAGCTGGGCTAATTGGGGAAACGGCTGCAGCTGGGCCACACCCTAATCAGGCCACAGCTGGCCTGTATAAAAAGGCCAGGGAAGCCAGAAGCAAATAGTCTCCCTCTGTCTGTAGAGGGAGAAGGACCTGGCTGCAGGGAGCTAGACACAGGGTACCTGAGTGGAGCAGGGCTGGGGAAAGGCAGGGGAGCTCCGGCCTGGAAAGCTCCAGGCTGCAGCCTAGTGTAAGGCCAAGAGGTACTGGGGGTTGCAGGGGGCAGCCCAAGGGGTAGGCAAAGGCAGCAGTTCTAAACCCCTTTGACTATGATGAGTGGCTGATACTGCAGTCTGCCCTAGTGAATGGGGCTAGATGGAGATGGGGCAGTAGCCAAAACTGAGGCAAAGTGGGGATAGTGGGTTGGGGGTTCCCTAGGGAGGGGAGACCCAGATTGGTGGGGTACTGCCAGGGGGTAGCACCCCAGTTAAAGGGGCACCGGGATCCAGGGAGGGACACGGGACCAGAGGACAGGCGGATCACGGGCCTGCAAAGGGTGCTCCTGGCTAGAAAAAGAGCTAATTCCCAGAAGTCACCAGCAGGAGGTGCCACAGGGGTGAGTCCGCACATCTACACCCATCAAGAAAGAGATCTTGGAGTCATCGTGGGTAGTTCCCTGAAAACATTGTGCAGCGGCATTCAAAAAAGTGATCAAAATGTTGAGAATCATTAAGAAAGAGAGAGTTAATAAGACAGAAAATATCATATTGCCTCTATATAAATCCATGGTATGCCCACATCTTGAATACCATGTGCAGATGTGGTCGCCCCATCACAAAAAAAGATATAATGGAATTGGAAAAGGTACAGAGAAGGGCAACAGAAATGATTAAGGGTATGGAACAGCTGCCATATGAGGAGAAATTAAAAAGATTGGGCCTTTTCAGCTTGGAAAAGAGATGACTAAAAGGGGATATGATAGAGGTCTACAAAATTGTGAATCATATGGAAAAATTGAATAAGGAAATGTTATTTACTCCTTCCCATAACACAAGAGCTATGGGTCACCCAATGAAATTGATAGGCAGCAGATTTAAAACAAACAAAAAAAGTATTTCTTCACAATTAACCTGTGGAACTCACACACCCCCAGCCCCCTGCCCTCCCTGACTCCTGCAACCCCCACACTCCCTGCCCTCCCTGACTCCTGCTCCTGACATCCCCACCTGCACCCCTCGCACCAAATGGGAGCTGCCCCAGGTAAGCGCTCCACACCCCAACCTCCTGCCCAGCCCAGAGCCCCCTCCTGCACCCTAACTCCCTCCCAGACCCTGCACCCCCAGCCCTGAACCCCCTCCCTAAGTCCTGGCCAGACCCCGCACCCTAATGTTTTTTTACTTTTTTTTTTATAAAGCGCTCTTATCCAAAGCACTTTACAATAGTTAGCTAATGGTACAAACAATATTTGGAAAGATCAATAAGAGGTTGCCGAGACCCCCAGCGATTTTCAAGTGGCCTGTGGAAAAAGAAGTTAGACTACAAAAACAATCAAGGTACCACACTTTATTTTCATTTACTTCCTATTACTTATAGGAGGAGGAAGAAGAAAAAAAGAATGAAAAACGGGGGTGGTTGTGGAAGATAAGAGAGAATGTTCTTTTTCTTGGCTGGGTCCCAAGGGGGGACCCCAAAAATGAAGCTGAGTACAGGGCCCCACTAACTGTAAATCCACCACTGGGGCTGACCTAGGGTGACCAGATGTCCTGATTTTATAGGAACAGTCCCGATATTTGGGGCTTTTTCTTATATAGGCTCCTATTACCCCCCCCACCCTCTGTCCCGATTTTTCACACTTGCTGTCTGGTCACCCTAGGCAGACCCCCCCGAGCTCCGCATGCCACTGCCAGGAGCTGGGGCTGACACCCTCCTCACGCTGCTGCCAGGGGCTGGGCTGCCCCTAACCCCCCCAAGCTCCATTCTGGCTGGGGCTGACCCCCCAAGCCCTGCTGCCTGACACCTCGCATCGCCACCCCCCCCCCCCCACGCTCCTCCACGCACCGCTAGGGGGACACAGTAAACTGGGCATTTGTTCATTTGCTCTTGCCAATTGATCAGTTGGCAAGAGCAAACGGGATAAATGACCGTTTTTGTCAAAAAAGTCAGGATGGCCGGACAGAGCTTAAAAAGGGAACTGTTCTGGCCAAACAAGGACCTGTGGTCACCCCATCTCCAGGCAAGAGGGTCCTGACCCTGGCCTGGCTAATCGCGCCACTCCCGAGACACTGGAGTGATTCCCCGCCCTGGCACTGGACTGTCCCCGGCCACATGCCAGCTCAGCCTGGCAGACGCCGTCACCTTCCAGCAGGGCCGGTGAGTGTGGCCAGGGAGCAGGGTGTGAGGAATGGGTCTCTGGAGGTGTGTAGGGGGGCTGCTGACAAGTGCGGGGTGTCTTGGAGGGTAGTGGGGGAGGTCTGTGTGTTGTGATGCTGGCCAGTGGGGGGTCTGAGTGGGTGCTGTGTAGCTGTGGTGGTGAGATGTGGGGAAGTGCATTGGGCAGTAGTGGTGCGGCTGTGTGTGGGGGGGTGCTGGGCAGGGGTGGTGGTGTGCAGGCCGCTGTGCATTTGTGGTGGAGGGTCTGTGTGTGGGGATGCTGGGCATAGCAGTTCCAAGGGACGCTGGGCATAGGGAGTCAGGGGCTGTGTGGCACGGCATGGGCCCACCCCTAAGGGGAAGGGGCACGCTGGCAGCACAGGGCTGGGCGGGGCACGCTGGCAGCACAGGGCTGGGCAGGCCAGTGTGCGTCTGGCAACTGCCGGTTTGTACATTGCCCTTGTACTGGGCTGGGTGGAGCGGGGCCGGCCCCACAATGCTATGCCTCATTGCCCCTGGCTGGCCCCTTGCTCTGGGGACTAACCTCCCCACGTCATGCTCCTTTGCCCGCATGGGAGCCCACAAATATGTTTGGTGCTGGGCCCACAAAAGGTTAATCCAGCCCTGTGTGATGGAACCTCCAGAAATACATCCAACCACAACTGGCAACCCTAAGAGGTTTCCTGCTGCTTGTGCATGCAAACTCTCCTTTAGCCACAGGGTGAGCAGACGTCCTGATAGTATCAGTAGAGCCATGTTTGCGGATCAGATGTGGATACAAATTGTGTCCTTGCAGGGCTGTAATTATCGGGACCGACTCGACATTAGGGGCTTTGCAACTATATCCACCCCGACCCCTGCAAAAAAAAGTGTCCCGATTTTTCACACCTGCTACTGGGTCACGCTAGCTGTACTTAGTGTAAGGGGACTGTTGCCCCCTTACTAACATTCAGTGGGGGTGTTTTGATTGGCTTGCTCCCAGTACTAAAAGGGGAAGGGTCGATGGCAAATCAGGAGCCTGAGACTGACAGTCCCCAGGAACAATGGGGAGAGGCCAATGCTCCAGATCAGCCTGATTGACAGGGCGGGCAGGCTAATCAGAGGGTCAGGAGGCCAGGGAGGTCTCGTCCTCCGTGTGAGCTGGAATTGCCTGGGTCAGACTGAGTGGGGCCGAGCTAAGGAGAAAGTGAGGGCCCAAGCTGAGCTGGAGAGCAGAACCGTGCCAGATCCAGAGGGGCCAGAGGCGCAGCCACAGAGCCAGAGACGCAGCCCAGGGAGAGCAGATCGTGTGCTGGGAGCAGAGGCGCAGCCACAGAGCCAGAGACGCAGCCCAGGGAGAGCAGATCCTGTGCTGGGAGCAGAGGCGCAGCCACAGAGCCAGAGACGCAGCCCAGGGAGAGCAGATCCTGTGCTGGGGGCAGAGCTGCAGCCACAGAGCCAGAGACGCAGCCCAGGGAGAGCAGATCCTGTGCTGGGAGCAGAGCTGCAGCCACAGAGCCAGGTGTGGTGAGCAAGTGGGGCCAGCCAAGGGGGGACCTTGGGCAAAGGGCCCAGCACAGAAAGACACCCCCAGACAAGGGCCCTTGCAGGCCAGACCGGGAGGGGGACCTTAACCCTACGGGGGGCTGACGCTGGGAAGAAGGGTCCCACCACTCAAAGCCCGGAGGTGTGTGGCCACCACTATTGCAAGTGTCCAACCCGCAGCATCCCTGCAGCACAGCCAGGGCCTGAGAAGGAAATCTGGGACTAACAAGGAACAGACTGTGAAGTGCCCTGATGTCCAGAGACACTGTTTGTGATGTTCCCTGCCACAAAGCAGGATGATGTGTTTTCCTTTAACCTTTCCCATTTTTCCTTATTCTTTTCTTTAGATTAATTGTTAATTAAACAACTTGCATTTGTTTTAAATTGTATGGAATAATCAGTGGGTCAGGGAGGTGCCCAGTGCAGAGAGAGTACCCCGGAGTGGGGACACCCTAGCCCCTGTCCTAGGTGACCACAGCAGGGTTGGGGGTTGAGCCCCCCAGGAATCCTGGGCTCAGCCTTGTTGGGGTTACGAGGACTCTGCCAGACAGGAGAGTGGAAGGAGAGCCCTCAAGGGCAGGGAGGCCTCTGGGTAAAGGGAGTGGGAGCGAGGACTCAGATCCTTTCGCTAGCCCACTTCACCGGGGTAGTGCAGAAGCCCGGAAAGTTCCCCACAATAGCGGGACCATACCCCCGCTTACATAATGGTGCAGCAGTTTCTGGTACTGTCCTGCAACCAGGGCAAAGAGTGCTAGGAAAGGCTTTCGTCTAACACTGAACCAGGGGCTTTGCCGCTTTGGTACAGTAAGAGGAGCAGCATTAATCCCACAGCGGCTCTCTCTGCCTCCCTGTAAGAGTTCTGTCTAGCTCCCCCACAGCCCCCTGCTGCTGCACTTTTAAAAAGCGTCTTGGTTCTTGTGCCCAATTTCTTCCTCGGGAAGTGGAGGGGAGGGTTGGATGTCATTAGCTGTTACCACCAGAGGGCTCTGGATGTGGCGCAGGGAGGGGAAGCTGTTCTCTGCCTCTCTTTCTGCTCATTGTATCCGGGGGTTGCACTTCCCAGGTCGCACGGTGGCTGCTGCATCCATAGTGAGCCGGGAGCCCAGGTTGTGCCGCTGCTGCTCCTCAGCGGGGTCTGTGGGGGGACAGACCTGCACTAACCCCCCTCTGTGCCCAGCCGGGGGGACCTTCTCCGGTGGCTGCAACCAGCCCCTGGGGCAGCCCCGGGCTCTGCCGCCACCAGCCCCTGAGACGGAGCCTGCAGGTGAGGGGAGAGTCCCGGGGGAAAGGGGCCGGGGCCGGGGCTGGTCAGGAAAGTGACTCTGCACCAACGGCCCCTCCTCGCCCCAGCTCCGCTCCCGGGGGAGGCGGGGGTCTGCGAGTCCCAGAGCTGCTGCCCTCCCTGACCCCCCCCCCCCCCGGCTCTGCTCCCCTGAGCGCCTGCAGGAGCCAAGCCAGCTCCGGGAGAGCGAACGCCCCGGGCCGGGCCAGGGATCGAGTCTCCCAGCCCGAGGAGAGGGGAGAGGGGGCGGGAGGGAGACAGGGGCAGAGACTGGCAGGGGCAGCAGGAGCAATCAGTGGGGAGGGAGGTTCCCGGCTCCCAGCCCTGCCCAGCCCCATTCCCTGCAGAGCCCCGGGGCAGACTGACTTTCCTGGGGAGAAGGTGAGGAGCAGCCAGAGGAAAAGCCAGTTCCTGCCTCTGCCTGGTCCCCGCGCTGCTGGGGGGATGCGCTGCCCTGGGGATAGTGTCAGGAGGGATCCCCCAGAGCGGCTCCTTTGGTTCTGCGCTTGGCTAAGAGGCTCTGTGCCTGGGAGGGGGGGGTACTAATGTCTGGGTGGGTTTAGTCTCGGTGGGAGGGGCCGGGTCTGCCCAGGAATAAAGTTACCCAGGGTTTTCCCAGCATCACAGAGTCTAGTGCGTCTGTCTGCGGGGAAAGGACCTGGGGGAACCGGGCTGCAAAATGGACCAAAGTCCTTCCTGGAACCTACTCCATCCCCCTTTCCCCCCCACGCTTCATGGAGGTGTGCCGGATCCGAATTTGCATCCAGCTGAGCTGAACAAAGCTGAACTGCAGCCAATGGGGAATTCACATTTGAAGCTGCTATTTGGAGCCAGCCCTCTGCCTCACTGGAGGCAGCTCTATAGGGCAGCCCTTGCCTCTTACCAGCCTCCTCTTTCACCTACAATTACAGCTGGCTGCCTCCACAGCTTCCCTTTGCTGCATCCCGAGCGCCACCCCTCAGCCTTGCCATACGCCCTAGTGCCTTAGCTGCTGTACTCGGTGTCACAGATCTACGGGACCAGTGCTATGCCCCAGCTTTTCAACAGTCCCTTGTAGGAACCCGTCAATGACCAGACCCCCAAGGGGTCCCACTTATCCTTCAGAATCTTACTTCCTCCCAGGCTGAGCCACTGAGCTCCACCCTCCCTGCTGCACACCCGAGTGCAGATGAGCCAGGCTCCTGGGCAGAGAACTGTCGTAGAATCATAGAAGATTAGGGTTGGAAGAGACCTCAGGAGGTCATCTAGTCCAACCCCCTGCTCAAAGCAGGACCAACACCAACTAAATCATCCCAGCCAGGGCTTTGTCTCTGCCCACTTCCTAGGGCCCAGCGCACCTCAGTCAGGATTTGCAGTGACACCCAAGCAGTATTTTCAAACCAGAGCAGGGTTGGTTAGTCCCCTGAACACAGCCCTGGAAGTCCTGAAGTTAGCACGGAGAAGCAACGGTAGCTTCTCCCAGAACACCCTGCTCCATGCCCTGCTGGTCAACTCCCAGTCCTGCTGCAAGGCTCGGTCCAACTCTTTTCTCTGGGTGGCTGGTTGCGACGTGTCGATGTGCAGCCCATTGGGGTTTTCCATTGTCTTCTCGTGTTTTCCATTGTGATGGGTCGGCCTTTTAATGACCCATGCAATCCATGACGACTCTCACTAACACCCGAGTCTCTTAGTCCTGCCCTGAGAGCAAACTTCATCCCCTCCCCGCTTCTGAGAAGCAATGCAAAGTACAGAGGGAAACTGAGCCATGAAAATCTTGCAGAACATTCCCACTTCATCGCTGTCAGTCTGTGCATGCCTTTCCCTTTCACTGCATCCCAGTGTAGCGGCTGGGCCCGATTCGCCCCCAGGGTGGGGGAAACACAACGCAAAGGCGCAGACCAGGGGACGTGGAGGAGGCAGCGGTTTGGCAGAGGAATGAATGTGGTCGTGCTGCCACGCCACTGTGCGGTGGGGATCGCCCCTAGCAGAGGGGAGCTGTGACTGAGCTGGGGGGGTTGTGGCTGGGGCAGCAGGTTCTGATTCAGGGGGGTCTCTGACTGTTTCAGGAGCTGGTTACCTTGAGGAGGCGGCTGTGTATTCCACCGAGGGGCACGTCTCACCACAGGGCCCCCTGCAGGTTCGCCATGCAGGAGAACTACGAGAACGTGATCTCGCTGGGTAAGGATCCTGCCCATGATGGTTTCCAGGAGGCATGGGAAGCGTCTGGCTCGGCTTCTGCTCAGGGCCCTTCCCTGGTCCCTTGGTCAGCCCCATGGTCTCCAGAACCTGTGTAGGGGAGGTGGTCCCCTCCGCATGTCCTCCCACAGCAGCGGTGCTGGGCTTTGCATGCCCGGGGCCTTCCAAGGGGCAGCAGAGCTGCATTTCCAGGTTCATTTTTATAAACATCTTCCCAGAACAAGCTGACTCTTCAGAGAGGACCTGGGCCCAGAGGAGACAGGCTGGGATTGAGGGAACCTGGATTCTTTTCTGGGCCCTGCTGTGGGACCCTGGGCACATCCTGATCTTTCTCTGTGACTCTGTTTCCTCTCCCATCCTTCGTCTTCTCTAATTAGAGGATCCACTCTTCAGGGCAGGGACTGCATCTCAACGTGTGTCTGTCTAGGCAGCATCCTGCACTATGCAGTCCTGATTGCGGCTGGGGGATCGACGTTGTACTAGAACACACTAACAATCAATAGGCTAGTATTATTTGTTCTCTGCCTTAGCTGTTGTTTCATCTCTGGGGTGTAAATCCCTGATTCTCTTATAGGGGGCACAGTACCGCAGACGCCTGGCCTTCCCAGTGGATAAGCCATGACCACACACCCAATACACAGCTTGTGCAAATCAGCATAATCCATTCAAGTCAATGAGGCAACACTGATTTACACCAGTTGGGGATCTGGCCCCATTGACTCAATGGAGCTACGGCCCATTGACCCCAGCTGGGGTGTGGCCCCATTGACTCCAGCGGAGCTTTGCTTGAGTGACACCAGCTGGGAATCTGGCCCCATTGACTCCAGTGGAGCTCTGGCCCATTAATCCCTGCTGGGGAGCTGGCCCACAAGGTGTAAGAGCAGCACTTTAGCCTTAATGTTGAAACCCGGAGCCATAAAGTGAGGCTTCTAAATCCATGTGGACTCTAAACGCGCCTGTCTGGATTTGGGGACGGGCAAGAGAAAGAGAAGTGAGTGACAATAAGGCTGCCCATTTAGGACCCGAGATAAGGATTTAGGAGCCTGGAGTTAGGCTCCCAAGAAGGAAAGAGCATGTAATTGCATGTACTAAAGCAGACGAATGTCCGTAGCAGCAAACAGGCAGCCAGCGTGAAGAGTGTCAACAGACTCAGGCCCTTTGCCAAACACAGTGCAGCCACAGTCCGTACGGTGACAATCAAAGAACGGTGCATTTTGTGCAGATGTCGGCAGATAAGAATGTCTGATCATCTCGTGAGCCTGGCTCGCCTCTCCCCCACCCTGGGGTACCTGCATTGGAGTCACTTGGTGTCATAGAATCATAGAGCCATATGGTCACAAGGGACCACAAGGGTCATCCAGTCTAACCCCTTGCCAAGGTGTAGGATTTGTTGTATCTAAACCATCCAAGACAGATGGCTATCCAGCCTCCTTTTGAAAACCTCCAGCGAAGGAGCTTCCACAACCTCCCCAGGCAGTCTGTGCCATTGTCCTACTGTTCTTACAGTGAGGAAGTTTGTCCAGAGATTTAATGTAAATCTGCTTTACTGCAGTTTGAACCCATTGTGGGGAGGGATAGCTCAGTGGTTTGAGCATTGGTCTGCTAAACCCAGGGTTGTGAGTTCAATCCTTGAGGGGGCCACTTAGGGATCTGGGGCAAAAATCTGTCTGGGGGTTGGTCCTGCTTTGAGCAGGGGGTTGGACTAGATGACTTCCTGAGGTCCTTTCCAACCCTGATATTCTATGATTCATTGTCTCTTGTCCTGCCCTCTGTGGCAAGAGAGAACAACTTTTCCTCCATCCTTTTAGGGCAGCCTTTCAGGTATTTGAAGCCTGCTAGCATCTCCCCCCTACTCTATGACCGCTATCATGTCACAGCATCACACAGTCTGGTCTATGCCCCAGCCTCTCACCAGTCCCCTGGGAGTGAAAACATTAGTGGGCCAGGCCCCAAGGACCAGCACAGCTCCACCGGGTCCTCCAAGACTCCCAGACTGGAGCATTGGCACGAGTGCTCCCTGTCTCTCTCCGGGGCTCCTGGCAGTGAATCCAGCCCAGCCAGATTCCTGCAGGAGGCCTGTACAGCAACCCTTCAGGATGCAATGCTCAGTGAATATTGGCAGCGACACAAGCAGCCTTTGCAAAGCAAGGTACCAATTTATTAATCCCCTGGCTACAGAATGTGGAAGTCCTTAGGGCAGCACAAAGAGCTGTGTCCATGCTGGCCAAAGCAGTGCTATGATGGGCCAGCCAAGCTGTGATGGACCCCATCCCTGGCTCCTTCTCCTGTCCCCCCAAAAAGCCGCCTCCTTCCAGTCACCTGACACCATGTTCTCCAGCTCTGTTGGGCTGGGTTTTCCTGCTGTTCATTGTTCAGTGGTTGGGGCATCTCTTTGTCTTGCTGGATCCTCTGATTTGGGTCGGTTTCAGCCCGTTCTTTAATGACAATACGCATTTCCCCCCCAGACCGGGTGGTGACACGCACATGCCTCCTGTGCTGTTCCAGGAGCAGCATTAACCCTTTGGCACCCATTGGGGAGCGATGCAATGTACAGAGAGACACTGAGGTACGCTGAGGCTTCATAAAAATATTACAGAAAATTCCCACTGGGCTTCATTTACAGAAAATTCACCCTGGGGTATATCAGGAGTAAGCCACTGACGCAGGATACTCCTCAGGTGTAAATCAGCATCAGGCCTTTGACTTCAATGGAGCTGTTTTAAGTCACGCCAGCTGGGGATCTGGCCTCTTGAAGTTGCATTTGTGTAGTCCCGGAGAGCAGCCTGGAGCTCTCCGACCTGCATAGGAGCAGCATGACACTTGTGAAGAGGCCGAAATGTAGGTCAAGACAAAAGGGCAGCTGCCCAGACTCAGCCTTCTAGCCAGATTCCAGACCCAGCTGCTTTTCATTAAACCTTCGTTCTCAACAGGGGCTGAGAGCCAGGGGCCTCCTGGAAGTCTGTGGCTTTCCGTGACCTTACCCCGGATACCAACAGCCCTTTCTCAAGCTGCAGATTTTAACCTCTCCATGTTTGGCAGCTGTAGTTTTATGCAGGTGTGAGCCGGCGGAGGTGTTTATTTCAAATCCTACCCAAGGCTTTTTATACCCACATAATTATTTTTTATGCTACAGAGGCTCATAATCAGGGCCGCTGGGCGCTGCACAGACACATAGTGACCGTGACCGGGGCCCCGTTGCGCCGGGTGCTGCACAGACACACAGTGACCGAGGTCAGGGGCCCCGTCATGCCGGGCACTGCACAGACACACAGTGACTGAGGTCAGAGCCCTGTCACGCCAGGCACTGCACAGACACACAGTGACCGAGGTCAGGGCCCTGTCACACCAGGCACTGCACAGACACACAGTGACTGAGATCAGGGCCCCGTTGCGCCGGGCGCTGCACAGATACACAGTGACCGAGGCCAGGGCCCCGTTGGGCCGGGCACTGCACAGACACACTGACTGAGGTCAGGGCCCCGTCGTGCTGGGCTCTGCACAGACAGACAATAAGAGGTAGTCTCTCCCTGAAGAGCTAAATAGACAAGAATTATTATCAAATGGGGAAACTGAGGCACCAAGCGGTAAGGCAATTTATAGAAGGTGTCAGAGGCAGAGCTGGGAATGAAACCCTCCTCTCCTGAATCGCAGGCAAATGCTTTTAAACATAAGGCTGGCCTACCTCTCCTTGTCTGCCTTATAAAATCATTCACTTTCTTTCAACCCTAACAAAAAATCATGGGGCTATTCCGTCAGAAGGGGAAGTGGCTAGGAACTGGGTGGTATCCCTTTAGAGTCACAGAGTTTAAGGCCAGATGGGACCATCAGATCGTAGTCTGAGCTCCTGTGTATCACAGGCTGCCAGCACTGCCTGGCACCTGCACACTCAACCCAGCAACCGAGGTGAGACTAAAGTCAATGAGACCACTGGTTATTTTTGACAGTAATTTCCAAGGATGGATTTCGTTGCTGTGCTGTCCAAGCAGCCCAGCTCCACTCCCATGATGTTATCTAGATAATGTACTTAAGAGACCCCTTCTTCCCCACCTGTGCCAGGGAAAGAGGGAGGTGCCGACAGCTTCAGAGGCATATCTCTCCCAGCTGCCTCACTTACTAGCCTTCAATTTTCACTCCCCCTCCTCTTCATGGCGGCAAGAAGGACTCCAGCTCCGGTTCCCAGTCTCCTGTGCTGTAACCCAATTCACTGTCCTTTGCAGTGAAAACTAGAGAGCAAGAGGCAGCTGCCGACAGGTCCCGGCAGGGGAGGGAAACAGAAAACAGTATCCGGCTGCAGCCAGATGCTGAACTCTGTGCTGTCTTGGAGAAAATACCATATTCACAGTCACGAAATGAAGGAGTCCATCTGGCCTTGATCCAAATGAGTGAAGCAGCTGAGAGCTCATTTATTTTGGGCTCTCCGCAATCATAAGGAACTCAATACTTATTTTTATCTAAATGAACACTGAGATTCTGAACCACATTTCTGTGTCAAGGTGTGATTAAAAACTACATCCAGATGAAGTTTGGTTGATAATAGTACATACCAGTAATTGAGGGTAAGATACATTACAAGGATGTTATCCCAAAAACCAAACATTATAATTCTAGGAGGTTCAGTTAAGGTTAAACTTAAAAAGAAATCAGCACACACATTGAGGTACGGATATGCACAGCTAAGTCACCCAAACAACCTTAACTCTGCCCTCTAGCAACACCATGAAATAGCCACGTGTGTGATTAATCCAGTTTCATGTTTGTGGGTCATCCCTTTATCCATTTAAAGGGATATCACCCAATTCCTGTACCCTACAGAAGGAGGGATAAGTAAAGGCAGCTAGGGAATGAAGGCTATCTCAGAGGTGGTCATATGTCCTAGCAAACCAATTAACATACTGAGCTGTGAGTCCAGATCTGAGGCTGTTTGTTTTGGGAATGATGTTAGCCTGCCATTAAATTTTAGTATTTGGAGATAGGAGATAACACCCCCCACCTCTTTAAAATCACCAGGTTAAAATTCAGCCCCTAAATCCTTGTTCAAGCACCTAAGTAAGGCCAGGTGTTTAAGCATGTGTGTGGTTCTCAGGACGTGAGTAGTCCCATTGGAATCCTACTCATGCGCTTAAAGTTTGGCACCTACTTAAGTGCCTTGCTGACCTGGGTCCTAAAAGCTAGAGCCGGTTTCTTCAGCTGCTCCGAGGACTCTTAGGTCTGGGATGGTCCACTGACGTCACACACCGCGGGGAGGGCCGTTGGCTATTTTGACAGCCGGTGGCGGGAGGGGGAATGGACCATTTGGGTTAACCACTCAGGAGCCAAATTAAATAAGGAAAAGGGTATTGTCATGTCCAAGGTGCCCGTGCTGCATAGCTCTGGGCATGGCTATTCCACCTGATCCAATGACTGTTCAGCATCACAGAGGATGTTGTACGAGAGCCACCAAGCGACCAGAGAGAGCAGGGAATATTGATGTCACTCAATACCGCACACTTTTCAACAGGAGTTCTCAAAGCACTTGCCAAAGGAGGTCACTATTTTTATCCCCCTTTAACAATTGGGGAAACTGAGGCACGGAACAAGGCAGTGACTTGCTCAAGGTCAGCCAGTCGGCTGGAGTTGTGCATAGAACCCTGGTCTCCTGAGTCCCAGTCCAGTGGACTGTCCATTAGGCAGCCGCACTGCTTATTACAGTCACTAGGAGCAGCTGTCCTGGCCTGCATGATAAAACCAGGGCTAATGGATGTGATCAGCCTGTAACCAGCCCATTCATCCTAGACTCACAGATTCCAGGGCCAGAAGGGAGCCTCTTGATTTTCCTGCTTCTGGAAAAAGGGCGCTACATCAGCTTCCTCCATTAGCATGGCTGGTAGGAAGCCATGGAGGAATCCAAGTAGCTGGGCTAAGTTCTTCAGACTCTCATATTTTCTAGAAGTCTGTTCCTGCATCAGTGGGGATTTTTCCATTGCATTCAGAGAGCACAGGATTAAGCTTAGATCCTGCCATGCTGAGCTCCCTACTCAGCTTTCTAGAGCTCCCTCTATGTAGCTGATAACCGAAGTGAAGAGGGTCACTTGATCATGGTTTATCAATACTGATCTGAGAAGGAGATTTCTGATAGCAGATTGGCTCCTTGATCTAGCAAACAAAGGCAGGCAGAGATCCAGCAGCTGGAAGCTGAGGCTAGATATGTCCGAATGGAAAATAAGGGGCATGTTTTCAACAGAGAAGGGAATTAACCATTGGAACAGTAACATAGGGCTGGGGTGAAGTCATAGAATCATAGAATATCAGGGTTGGAAGGGACCTCAGGAGGTCATCTAGTCCAACCTCCTGCTCAAAGCAGGACCAATTCCCAACTAAATCATCAAAATCTGTAGGAGAGCGGGGAACTGAATATGGGTCTTCAGAGTCCCAGGCGAACACCCTGCCTGCTGGACCATCAACAAACAGCCAAGCTTCAAGTCTCTACTTCTTGGGCTCTGTGAATGAAGCTTGGCTGTCTGTTGATGGTCCAGCAGGCAGGGTATTCGCCTGTGACTCTGAAGACCCATATTCAGTTCCCTGCTCTCCTACAGATTTTTTCCTAGGGACTTATTCTCTCTGTGCCTTAGTTTCCCATTTGTAACATGGGGATAATAGCATTGTGTTACCTCACAGGGGTGTTGTGAGGATGAGAGCAGCGAAGGCTGAGGGGTGCTCAGATGTTCTGATAATGCGGGCTGTGTAAGTACCTTAGCGCTCTTTCTAAAGAGTTGTTCTAGTTCAACCGCAAGATATGGCTCTCTCAAGATATGAGAGGTTCTCTGGCCTGTGTGATATAGGAGGTCAGACTAGATGGCCATAAAGGTCTCATCTGGCCTGAAAATCTAATCTAACCACCCGTCTCTGTCTCCTTTATCTGTGTCATCTATTGATCTGGGTTTGGGTTTTGGCCTTATATCTAAGCACCTCTGATGTCTGTGCTGTCCTTCTAATGCTAGTCCAATCCGTGTTTCCCTTAGCGGAGGAGATTGCGATCAGCTGGCCCCGGATAACCGCTTTTGCCGAGTCCCACAGGAGGAGAGGATTGGTATCCGGTAAGTTGTTCTGGGTTGGGTCGAAATAGGCCTGTGCATTCTTCATACTACAGAAGTGCTCCTCAGGGTAAATCAAGGGGAGGTCCATGGAGAACACTCCTCATTCACACAGGGAATCAGTGTCAGCAACCCAAGTGAATTACTCCTAATTTATACACAGACCCCTCTAGGTTACCTTCACTTTCCCTCACATCAGAGCAGCATGCTGATAGCCTGGTTCCCTTTCAGGTATAGAGATGGAGTCAGAGCAGGGCCAGCTGGAGCCAGCCCAGGTGCAGAACTCAGCCACGGCTGGGCCCAGCGAAGGAGGGATGACCCCTGACTTGCGTCGGCAGCTGGGTCTCATCCTGCAGACCGCCGGCCGGAGCCAAGTGGAGAAGATGCTGCGGGAGCTGGTGAGGGAGCAGAGCCAGGAGGGCAAGCGCAAGGCTCGCAAGAAAGCCACAAGGAGTGCCAAGGATGGAGGTCAGTGGCAGATGGGAGGGCAGGGGGCATTAATGGAGAGGAGGGAGGGAGGTGCCTGGGGCGTGGAGAGCAGCAAGATGCTGTGTATGTGCATTTGTACCTGAGTGGTGTTATACTCTAGTGGCTGGGCCGACAGAGAAAATAAGAGACCTACTACTGCTACAGCTAGGGGGAGTTCCCCTTTAGTTCACATGGGCAAGGCCTGTGTTTGTGGAGCAGAACGACCTGGGTTCATGACCCTAGTCCTCCAGCATTGAGGTGTGTGGTTATTAAATATTTAACCTGTAGCGAAGTCCCTGTTTTAAGGACAGATCCCCAGCTGGCATACCTCCCTTGACTGGATGTGAGCCTACACTGATTTATACCAGCAGAGGATCTGGCCAGAGTTTTGTCTCTCTCTGCAAAATCTCCATACAAATAAAGTCAGATGAGCTTGAAAATTATTGGGTGAGTGGGGAAAATTTGAAGGCAAGATCAAGGGATTCCTGAGATCCAGTGCTCTAAAATGAGCCCATGTGGCAAAAATTAAGCCATATCTAAACAGCAAAGTTGCACTAAATTGGTTTTTAAGCTGGTTTAATTAAACTAATGTGAACCCCTATGCAGACACACTCTGGGCTTATGTGTAAATGGACAACAAGGAGTCTGGTGGCACCTTAAAGACTAACAGATTTATTTGGGCATAAGCTTTCGTGGGTAAAAACCTTACTTCTTCAGATGCATAGAGTGAAAGTCTATGTAAATGGAGTTATTTTGGAATAGCTTTAAATTCATAGAGTGCAAGGCCAGAAGGGACTTGTCATGACTTGAAAGAGGGCAGTCAGACCTAGTGGTCAGAGCAAGCATCAGGCAGAGTCAGGAGGTCAGAGTCCGAGACGGGCCAGAGAGCAAACTGAGAGTCAGGTGTCAGGAGGCAGGCCTGGTCAGGTTACCAGGAGATCGGGGTCAGGCACCAGCCATTGAGTAGCGAAGTCAAGGACAAGTCAGGGTCAGAAACCGGAGTCTAGGGTCTATTGCAGGCATGGTCTGGAGCAGAGACAGACAGGCAGTCTGTGTTGTTGCTCAGACAGCTTCCCTTCATGGCTTCCTGGTTTAAATACTGGTTATCAGCCAGCGAGGGAGTTGTGAGGGGCCCCCACTCCTGTCCTGCTGGGCGGTACGTACCGCTGAGCACAGCCTCACACGGTCCTCCCATGGGAGCCCTGCCTAAGCCTCCTGTGGTGACACAGAGGTGTCAGTGGCCCAGAACCCCCTGGGCCCAGATTCCAATCCTTTACGGTGGTGCTGGCACAGGCATGTCTGGGTGAGCCTTGTGGATTTCTTCTATCGCATCAGGGCTGTAGACATGGGAAGCAGGCTCCCAAATGTGTTCTTCGGGGCCATAGCCATTCCAGATAATACAGGTGTCCATCGGGAATTGAGGAAGGCATGCACTTCGCATTCCTCATGACCCTGGATTTCAACTGGTGAAGGCAGTGGTGTGGTTCAAGCTCAGTGTAGGGCTTCAGAAGGGAGAAATGGAAAACTGGGTGTATTTTGAGAGACTGGGGAAGCTGGAGTTTGAAGGTAACTGGGGTTAATTTGCTGGCATGTTGGGAAGGGTCCAAGGAGCTGGTAGTCCAATTTGCAAGTGGGTCGCCTGGTCTGGAGGTGTATGGTGGCAAGCCACACCTTCTGGCCTACCATAAATACTGGAGCTTCTTGTCACTGATGGTCTGCATGCCTCTTGTAGGCCGCCTTAGCCACTTCTAGGTGGTTCTTGAGCTCTTCCTGAATGAGTTGGATCTGTTGGACCCAGTTGGTGGTGACTGGGGTTGGGGAGGCTGCTGGTAACGCTGGATTGGAACCTGTAATTAGCGAAGAAGGGGCTCCAACCCGTGGAGGCATTGTCAGCATTGTTGTAAGAACACTCTGCATAAGGCAGGAGCATAGACCAGTTATCTTGACGATAATTTACAAAGCACTTCAAGTACTCCTCCAGTATGTTGTTCACCTGTTTAGTTTTTCCTTCTATTTGGGGGTGGTATGCAGTAGAGGTGGATATGCGGATGTCCAGTAGCCTGAACATTTCACACCAGAAGCAAGAGGGGAACTGTGGGCATTGATCGGAAACTATGTGGCTCGGAGTCCGTGGAGCCGGACCATGTTGTGCAGTAGGAGTTGGGCCGTAGCCTCAGCAGAGGGCAGCTGGTTGCAGGAGATGAAGTGGGCCATTTTGGTCAGGCGGTCCACAACCATTAAGACTATGGTGTGCCATCTGACAGTGGGAACTCCACAATAAAACCTAGGCTGATGGCGGACCAAAGACTAGCTGGAGTCTCCAGGGGTACTAAGGCGCCACGGGCTCTGATTCAGGGTATCTTGGTACGTGCACAGCACTCACAGGAGTCCACGTTTGCTTGGACCTCAGTCCACGTGCGGGGCTACCAGAAAAAATGGGCAACCATGCAGAGGTCTTCCAGCGGCCAAAGTGAGCTGCCATTGGAGTGTCATGGCACAGCCATTACAGCTTCAGTCAGGGGCGTTTTGGGGACACATATATGTGCTTGTCGAAGTACGTTATCTCATCCCACATGGTGCACCTTAGCCACAGGGCATGGGCTGTGTCCCTTGGGCAAGCAGGTCTTCTTTCGCGGAGGACTGGATGAGGGAGAGCAGGTCTTGCTGAATTGTGGCATTAGCAAATTACCGGGCTTGAAGAGGTAGGGAGGCTCGGAAGTCAGTTCTTCACTTCCCCAGTAGAATTCCCCCTTCTGTGACAGAGCATCGGCTTTTCCATTTTGCTTTCCTGGCAGTAGGTGATTGTAAATTCAAACCAAGAAAAGAACAAGGCCCAACTTAGCTGCCTCTGGTTGAACGTTCGGGCGTTGGGAAGGTGCTCGAGGTTCTTATGGTCGGTGAAGACCTGTACTGGGTGCTGAGCTCCCTACAGGTGGTGATTCCATTCTTCAAATAAAGTTTTTATGGTAAGCAGCTGTTTGTCCATATTTCATCTCAGCTGGGGTAAATTTTTGGGAATAGATTGCACAACTGAGCAGAACTGACGGGGGTCTGAGTTGCTGTGAGAGTGCCACCCCATGCACCACGTTGGATGCATCTGTTTCTACTACTGATGGACGAATTGGGTCAGGGTGTGCTGGGATTGGGGCCATGGTGAAGGCAGCCTTTAGCTGGTCAAAAGCGAGCTGGGCTTTGGGCAACCAAGCAAATCACAAGCTTTGCGGAGGAGGAAAGTTAAGTGAGAAGAGACGTTAGTGATGAATCTCCTATAAAAATGTGCAAAGCCCAGGAAGCGCCGAAGTTCCCGGAGAGTTCGGGATGCTGTCCAGTTGCAAATGGCTTCCACCTTCTGCGGATCCATCCTAATTCCCTCTGGGAAGATGATGCATCGCAAAAATCAATTGGTGGTTTGGTTGAAGGTGCACTTTTCCAGTTTGGCATACAAACCATACTTCCATAGTCTCCCCAGGACATGGTGGCAGTTCTGCTCCAGGTTCTCAGAAAATACCAGTTTATGGATGAGGTAAGTAATCACATACTGGTCTAGGAGTTCCCTGAACACATCGTTCACAAAATGCTGAAATGTTGTAGGAGCACTGGTTAAGCCAAATGGCATCACCAAGTATTCAAAGTGCCCATATTGGGTACAAAAAATGGTCTTCCATTCGGCTCCAGGTCTTATGTGCTCTAGATTGTATGCCCCCTCCCCCAAGGTCTAGTTTTGTGAAGATCCTGGTGATCCTCAGGCAGTCCAGCAATTCCAGAATAAGGGGTAAGGGGTACTGGTTATGAATAGTCACTTGGTTAAGTGTACAATAGTCTACACAGAGGTGTAGTGACCCATCCTTCTTCACAAAGAGGGCTGGTGCCCCCACTGGAGAGGTGGATCTCCAAATGAAGCCGTTGGTGAGGTTGTCCTGGATATACACACGTAGTGACTCCAGCTCTGGATCAGACATGGAGTATATCTGCCGGTAGGGCACCTTTACCCTGGCATGTAGGTCTATCAGGCAGTCAAAGTCTCTGTGTGGGGGTAGTGAGTCTGCATTTTTCTTTTCGAACACATCCAGGTAGTCGCAGTACTTGTCAGGGAGGCTGAGGTTCTGGCCTGTTGCCACTCACATCTGGGTAGACCCCGCAATCCAGTGTTCTGCTTGTGAGAGTCTCCTCCCATCCTAAGGCCTAAGTACGGGTCATTTTGGGGTTGGTTGCATCATTGGAGACATGCTTTCTGACCATATTCAAAGGAGAAGCTAATGCTCCACCACCACCAGGAGATACATGGGTCATGCTGCTCCAACCAAGGAATGCCAAGAATTATCAGGAAGAATGGGGAGCAGATCACATCAAAGCATATTGTTGCTCGGTGCCCTTCCGCTACGGATCGTCTCTTGAATCACTGGTCCCAACGATCAAGGTGACCCATCAATCATCTCCACAAGGTCCGGTGTGGGTTTTGGCCGGACCTAGAGGGTTTTGGCTGCCTCAGCAGCTATGAAGTTGGCAGCAGCCCCGGAGTCTATCATCGCTAGCTATGGGGAGATCTACTGTGCCTGTCCCAAGACCTGCTACCTCAGTATCAACTGGAAATACGGAGAGGCATCATGGTTCCCAGGTGGGGTTCTACTAGAGGGTGGGGGTGGTTCCGGATCATGGAGTTCATACACACACACCGGGCCTGGGCTGGTCCATTGCCCAAGTTATTCTGAGCTGGGCAGGAGGCAAAGGTGTGTCCTGGTCTCCCCTCCCCCGCCCCATGTAAAAACGGAGGGCAGGTGCGGGGTGTCGGGCCACCCCTCCTTTCATAGAATCATAGAATATCAGGGTTGGAAAGGACCTCAGGAGGTCATCTAGTCCAACCCCCTGCTCAAAGCAGAACCAATCCCCAACTAAATCATCCCAGACAGGGCTTTGTCAAGCCTGACCTTAAAAACCTCTTAGGAAGGAGCAACAGAGGGTCCTGTGGCACCTTTAAGACTAACAGAAGTATTGGGAGCATA